AGATTTTCTTGAACTTCTGTGAAAACTTTCCATCACCCGTTCTTGCTTCACAGGACGTGGTTGATATTTTTAGTCTTCCTTAGCGTTTCTTGGGCAAACCGTGTACAGTACCCCCGGCTTTAAACTAGTCCCTAATTCGTGAGATTTTCAGTCACGTAGGTAGATTTCAGTAAAACTCACTTTGATACCGCCTTTGATCTTCAACTGTATTTTAGGAGTGAATTGCGTCATGGTGCTCTTTTTCTCATAGACGGTGCCCAACTGACCCTACTATACTGTGCAGTCAACAAAATCGATGTGCATGCATGAATTTAAAAATATAAGATGGTGACAATTTATCCATCGTACCCTATATATATATATATATATATATATATATGTGTGTGTGTGTGTGTGTGTATAGAAAGAGAGAGAGAGATAGAGAGTCTCAAAAGTGTATACACATTTTGACGCTTTCTCAAGAAATAATTCAAACAACTATAGATATGAAATGGCGACAATTTACCCAATGCACCCGGTATATATATATATATATATATATATATATATATATATATATATATATATATATATATAATATTTTTTTAAAAATATGATTCCTTCGCTACATAAGAGTTTTCATGTTTCAAAACGTTTTTGAAACATGAGAACTCTTATGTAGGGAAGGGATGATATTTAAAAAAATAATAATTATAATTGAAGCTCTACTTCTGTATGGAGCACTGTTTTTGAAAAATAAAAACAAGAATACTAAAGAACTCCGGATTATTTACCTAACGTGTTCTTTCCTATTTTTCTACATATCTGCACACACACACACACACACACACACACACACACACACACAAAATATATATATATATATAAATATATATATATATATATATATATATACAGAGAGGGGGAGAGAGTGGGGAGGGAGAGAGAGAAAGAGAGAGTCTCTATACACATTTTGAAGCTTTCTCAAGAAATAATTCAAACTAGAACCAACTATATTTAATTTAGATAATACATATGAAGACAGTATTTATTATAAATAAACGCTCTTAAGTTTTTGTTATCACATGTTTTCAACTTGGTGTCCATGATGATCTTGACCTTTCTGACAACCTGAAAGCATTGGAATCACAAGCAGCAGTCAAAATTTCGGTAGCTTTTCTTGGACGTCTCATAGATGGATTTAAATAAAACTCACTTTGATACCGCCTTTGATCTTCAACTGTATTTTAGGAGTGATTTGTGTCATGGTGCTCTTTTTCTCACAGACGGTGCCCAGCTGACCCTACTATACTGTGCACTCGACAAAATAGATGTATTTAAATAAAACTCACTTTGATACCGCCTTCGAACTTCGATACGTATTTCCTGGATTCTTGCTCTTTGGAAACTTTCATTTCAGCGATCGTTGCTGCGTTTGTAGCGTAGACTTTACCTTTTAAGTCTTCACACAAGAAGAAGTCTAAAGAGGTGAGGTCCGGTAGACGAGGAGGATAATCTACAGAATCTTCCATTTCATTTCATCTGTTTGGCAAGATTTCATTCAGGTTCGATCGGTCATCACGATGGTAGTGTGGCAGGGGCTCCATTTTGCTGGAAATAAAATTCCTCCTTATCCAAAACTTCTCCAATTCTTGGCACGAAAGACTGTTGCAACATAGTAAAAAAAGTAAAAGTTTGTATTCATTACTGAGATACCCTGCATGTGCGTGTACACACACACACACACACACACACACACACACACACACACACACACATATATATATATATATATATATATTAAATACCAATGAGAAAAATAGCTATTTTCAAGGGTTTGTAGAGTAGGAATCAGCGTACTTCGTTCCCCTCTCTACTACTCTGGCAATGGACTGTTCCAAGTAGCCACATTAGAGTAGGATTTGAGGAGTAGTTGATTTACTCAAGTTTTTCCGTTCTATGTATGAGTATTTAAACAAACTCTTCTTTGTTTCGACACAGTCTTTTTTTTTCTCTCGATACTGTCTCTAACTACGGCCTTCCTAATTCTCGGTTAATTTGAACAACTAGATTTTTTTGCAACACATTGACACGTGTTGAAATCCTCACAGTATTTAGTATTGTTAAAAGTTATCTCTAACATTTTTCGTCGAGATTTACAAACTCTACGTTTCGTTCAATTTTGAAAACCAATCGACAACATTTGAATAAGCTGATTTGTTTGGTAAATAGTTTAATAAAAACCCTACTTCGGGGTTTGATAATTACTTTAATTTAATTTTATTTTAATGGACTGCATGAAAAAAAAAATTTATAAGAAAATTTCTTTTTTTGTCTTTCCTTTTTAACAGCGCGGAATAAATTCTTAGGATTTCTTACTCTTGAGTACGCAACATAGAACGGACCATGCGTAAATATTTCTTTCTGGAGCCAAATTCTAAGTTTTTAAAGCGTTTGGTTTTGTGATTTGTTTATAGTTCTTTGCAAACGCAGGACGACCCGTAAAACAGGATTATATATATATATATATATATATATATATATATATATATATATATATATATATATATATAAACTTAAATGAAAGATATGCAAAAACAATATTGCATTTTTATTAAATAAGTATTTGTTATTTTAATCATTAATTTTTCCAAAACAATGAATGAGAATTGTACTAAGCTACACACCTTAGTAAAACCAATTCTACTTTGTATCCCGCCTACCTGTTTGAACTTCTCCCTAAAATTTGGTTTCGATCGGTTAATGTATTGCTATTTTAGAGGGTGTGACGGACAGACGGACTAACGGAAGTCACATAATTTTATATATAGAAGACCACATTACAACACAAGTTTATAATGGCAAGGTTACGGCGTCATTTCATTAAAAAATTTGCCTATTTCTTCCCGTTCGAAGCGACTCGTGTTTTGTTAACTTTGGACCCATATTTTCTCTCATTTTTATTTTTAGTTGCATTTTCTTATAGCCATCTTTACGTCAAGCCATCTTCGGCAGCGTGTAGTCAGTACAGATCGCAAATTCGCGCTGAGATGAACTCAGAAAATAAAACAATAAAGATTACTATAAAGTAATTACTGGATCTTTTTCTGTTAATTCACCCCAAAATAAAAAAAATTATATTTAATAAAATTCACACCAAATTCTCCTTTCTATTGCACTTCAGTCGGGTTGACCTTTGCAATGGCCCCCAAATGTTGACTACTTAGGTGCACTATTTCTAAGTGTGGGTCTGCGTCATGCTCACCCCGATAAACAATCCAAAAACAGATTTCTTTTTTAAATTGTAGAAATTCCTTGTAAGTACTTTGAATATCAACCGTACTTACGAAATGTGAATGTTTTTGATTTTTGGTAACTTTTCATTCAAAAGATAGTCAAAAATTTTATAAAAGGAAAAACTTTGATTTAAAATTTACAATTTGAAGACTGCCGAAAAATTTAATAAAAAAAATAAAAAAAAAAAACTTTGATTTAAAATTTATAATTTCTTGGGGTGAATTAATATTTACGATAAGTAACTTTACATTATTTGGATTGAATTATCAGAATAGATCCTAATTACTAGTCAAAAATTAATAATTTAATTATCAAATTATAATTATACGAAATTATTAGGTCAAAATTAAACCTTGCATCCCCGATTTCATTGTCAGTCATGTACCTTAACTTCCATGTCAATAAAGTAAAGTTTTAACCTGTTTGCTAAATCATTCCCTGTCTGTGATATCACATTTTATATAGTCGGCTAACGTTACAATAATTTGAAATGGTTTTTTGTGGAGAAAAAAAAAATTTATAACCCGATTCTGTTGTGCAATTATAGCAGTCTTGTATTAGGTTGAGTTAAAATAATTTCCAATTTTGTTTCTGAAATTAATTTTTCGAAAGATCAAAAAGGTCTGATTTTATCTTACCTACATTCCTTCTTTCAAGAGGCCTATGAACTAACAAACGTACGTTCTCTCAAGAGGCCTTTACACTAACAATAGAGCTAACACTCGTGTATCCACCTTCTCTGAAGAGGCCTTTTCACTAACAATAGAGCTAACCATATCGTAGTTTCTCTCAGGAGGCGTTTGCACTAGCAATAGGACTGACACTATACTACCCACCTTCTCTCAAGAGGTCTGTACACTAACAAGAGGATTCTTCCTATCGCACCCACACTCCTCATCTCAAGCAGCCTTTGCACTAACAACAGAGTTAACCCTATCAACGTGCTCTAACAATAGGGCTGACACCCACTTCTCTCAGCAGGTATGTGCACTAACAATTCGGGTAACCTATCTCAAAAGGCCTTTACACTAACGGCAGGGCAAACCTTAGGCTTTTGTATTACTAATAGGATTGACACTATTCTAGCCACACTACTCTCAAGCGGCCTTTGCACTAACAATATGGCTAACCCTAGCGTACCCACACTCTTCTCAAGAGACCTATGCACTAACAATAAAGCTAACACTATAGTACCCAAACTCTTCTCAATAGACCTATGCACTAACAAATGGCTAACCCTAGCGTACCCACACTCTTCTCAAGAGACCTATGCACTAACAATAGAGCTAACACTATAGTACACACACTCCTCTCAATAGACCTTTGCACTAACAATAGGGCTAACCCTAATGTACCCACACTCTTCTCAAGAGACCTATGCACTAACAATAGAGCTAACACTATAGTACCCAAACTCCTCTCAAGAGCCCTTTGAACTAACAATAGGGCTAACCCTATCATCCCCCCTCCTATCTTAATCCTGACAAACCCTTAATCGGTAATCACTGGTTTTAAGATTCGAGCTTTACAAAGAGGATTAAATCAATTCAAAATGTATTCAATGAAGGAAGCGGGAAAATGAAAGATCACGTGGTGTTTGCACTAAATATCCGAGGATATTAAGGATTCTACAAGCATAACGATTTTAGCCTTGCTCTTGAATATTCTAAGCTGTGTAAATATTTTTTTTAAAAATGCGGTGTCTGTGTGCGTGTGTAGGGAAGATGCATCATAATGAGACGAACAATGAACCACGCCACCATTTATTTCACCTGATACAAAAGAATGACGATCCGACTTTTCAGTAAGCAACTTATGTAAGCTGTAAATACCATTGAGCCCAGATCGGAATTTATATTGTTGTTGTTGTTAACCTTATCTCCCCTATGTAGCAGAGGACCACAACCTCCCCGCGCTAGGTAGTGGTGTTGTGGTTTCCATAGCAACTAGGTATTTTTCGAGGTCGAGTTGTTCGGCCTATATACAATCAGTTTTGAATTCAGAATTTTCTTTCTCCTGAACTGTCTGCCAACCAAAGCCGGAGAGCCTATTCTGGCAACCAAAGCTGGATTGACCAGTCTGCCAAACAAAGCCGGAGTGCCCATTCTGGCAACCAAAGCTGGATTGACCAGTCCTGGCAAAGCCTGAGAGCCCGTTCACAGCAACCAAAGCTGGATTGACCAGTCTATCAACAAAGCTGGAGTGCCCCATTCTGGCAACCAAAGCTGGATTGACCAGTCTGGCAACCAAAGCCTGAGAGCCCATTCTGGCAACCAAAGCTGGATTGACCAGTCTATCAACCAAAGCCGGCGTGCCCATTCTGGCAACCAAAGCTGGATTGACCAGTCTGGCAACCAAAGCCTGAGAGCCCATTGTGGCAACCAAAGCTGGATTGACCAGTCTGTCAACCAAAGCCGGAGTGCCCATTGTGGCAACCAAAGCTGGATTGACCAGTCTGTCAACCAAAGCCGGAGAGCCCATTGTGGCAACCAAAGCTGGATTGACCAGTCTGTCAACCAAAGCCGGAGAGCCCATTCTGGCAACCAAAGCTGGATTGACCAGTCTGTCAACCAAAGCCTGAGAGCCCATTCTGGCAACCAAAGCTGGATTGACCAGTCTGTCAACAAAAGCCTGAGAGCCCATTCTGGCAACCAAAGCTGGATTGACCAGTCTATCAACCAAAGCCGGAGTGCCCATTCTGGCAACCAAAGCTGGATTGACCAGTCTGGCAACCAAAGCCTGAGAGCCCATTCTGGCAACCAAAGCTGGATTGACCAGTCTATCAACCAAAGCCGGCGTTCCCATTCTGGCAACCAAAGCTGGATTGACCAGTCTGGCAACCAAAACCTGAGAGCCCATTCTGGCAACCAAAGCTGGATTGACCAGTCTGTCAACCAAAGCCGGAGTGCCCATTGTGGCAACCAACGCTGGATTGACCAGTCTGTCAACCAAAGCCGGAGAGCCCATTGTGGCAACCAAAGCTGGAGTGACCAGTCTGTCAACCCAAAGCCGGAGAGCCCATTGGCAGCAAAAGCTGGATTGACCGGTCTGTCGGCAAAGCCGGAGAGCCCATTGTGGCAACTAAAGCTGGATTGACCAGTCTGTCAACAAAAGCCGGAGAGCCCATTCTGGCAACCAAAGCTGAATTGACCAGTCTGTCAACCAAAGCCGGAAATCCCAGTCTGCCGACCAAAGCTGGACAGCCAAGTCTACCAACCAAAGCTAGACAGCCAAGTCTTCCCTGCTATTAATCCCTGGTTGGGATGGGGAGAAAAGAGGTAAATTCATACCTTTTCCGAGGGAAAGTGAACGCGACAGCATCGGCTGGAGTTTGAACTCGACACGCCAGTCCCACATTCCGTACCCATAACCAATACACAAATAGACATAAGCATAGAAATATTATTCGGTTATAAGTGAAATATTCTTCTAATGTGCCGTGTCCATTCAGGATCATGGCTCTTCACACTTTCCTGTCCTTTTTAGCTCTTAATAATTTTTTTGTTACCTCTCCTAAGCCTTGAACCGCCATCAATTTACACAAGCTCGCTCGGTAGGTTATACGTTGTTTTCCTGTCCATCGTGCCTTCAATTTGTCCTGTGAGTATCAAATTTTCCAAACCCTCCTTCTTCATTACGTGCCTGTCCTTTTTATTTAGTCCACAATAAAATATATATATATATTGATTCTCTTACTCAGATTTTACTTTTAAAATTTTGAACTTTTAAAAGATGAGTATTTCCTGTCCTTTGTAGCTCTTAATAAATTTTGTTTCCTTTTTCTCTCTATTCAAACCTGCTCTGCCATCTATTTACTCAAGTTCGTTAGGTAGGTTATGTATTGTTTTCCTCTGTCCCTCTTGCCTCCATTTTGTCCTGTGAGTATCAAATTTTCTAAGCCCTCTTTCCTAATTTCAAATTAGAAAATTCAACTGTCTCAGGACGTTAGCGGTCATAGCTCTCCACAATATTCTATCCTTTGTCGCTCTTAATAAATATTGTTCCGCTATATACGCTATATATATTGCTGCTCTGTAGTTGGAGTTTCGTCTCCAGCTGTACTGGTCAAACTCTCTGCTTCCGGGAAGAGAGGATCTCCAGACGAGGCTATGTCGAAGGGCAGAGTCTCGTCTCGGAAAACAGCTACCCAACCCCGTTTTAAGCGAGGTCTACGGGCTCGTATACCCCACATTAAATTCGGCCTTGTGTCACATCTGACAGCGTGGGGCGCTTGGTAGATACCCTGCAGTTGGAGATTCATTGTGGAATTAACTTGACTCACTTCTAGCAGCTGATTACTTCTTCTACGCGCCGCTGGCGAATCTTATATGTGTTGTTCTTGTCCTAAGTATTATCTTTCATTAACAACCTTCGTTTGATTATTCCATTCAGCAACCTTCCCTAGGTTACAAAAGCTTTATATAAGAAATGTCTCTACATTCAATTTGGCAAGTTTTGCAATATTTGTTTGAATCTTTTCTTTTTCGCTTTTACCCACAGAAGTGGAAAACCATGCTGTTCCCGCGGACACCGAAGGCCGAGGAGAAGAAGTGCCCGAAAGAGTTATCTATTCAGATGATGAAAATATAAGTCTGTCACTGGAGCTTAGTCCAAAGTAAGTTGTATTGCTTCATTTATGACAATAGTCCTTTTATTACTCTATCCCACCAATGTATGAAAACGTAGTTACAGATATTCAATCCTTTGATCAGTTTACTCTTGAGCTTTTCTCAAATGTATTGTAGGTGTTAAACGACTTTATAAACATTTCATACAGGCATACATAGTTGTATTATTGATTGAATTTTTTTTACAGTTTATCAACCTTTTATGGGTTATTTAAAGACGAGACATATTCTGGATTGTAAGCATTTTTTGCAAGTGAATATTGCATTAATTTTTTTTTTAGAATAACAATGATTTTTTTTTCCAGATACACGTCCTACTATTTAACCCATAGCTGAAGGGAGATAGATTCATACTTTATCCAAAGTGTATTTATGCGTAATTAAATGTAACGAATTTGACTAGCATAATTGCATGAGGGCGTTTCTAAAACAAATCCCGGATATGGGGTAGCTACGCGTTAAAAATCGACCCTATTCTGTGAGTGTGAGTTCAATACCCGGTTAAGGCAGTAGAGAAATTTCAGAGGGAAATTGACAGGAGATAACTGATAACTGACATCCATTAAACATCGTACGTGGAACTAGAACAGTCTACACCAGTGAGCGAAATAAAGGGTTCAGTTCGACATTCCAACCACCTGAAGAAGGCCGGAGCGTACAACGGCTGAAACGTTGTAATAAATATGGCGACAAAGATGAGGACAATAGTCCGAATAATGTAAATAATGAGAATAACGTCAGTTTCGAATCGAAGATTTTTCGCTTTGACGTCGTTGTCATTTCAGAAAGCCCTGATCACTCTGGAAATTATATGCAGAAAAGTTGTTCACTTGTGGTCGACAAGTTAGGCAAATAGAGCGAGCAGAATAGAATTCGTAACAGTAAAGTGAAACCATCTTAAATGGCTCTTCGTGAAAAATGTTGACCCGTATTACACCGAAACGTGATAAGTTAGGGTACGCTGTCAAATTTTATGCGATATCAAATTTTACGAATTTCTTTCAATAATTCTCCATAGTTTCTGTAAATTATCGGTGAGCCTTAAGCTGTAAGCGCAGAAGCCCAAATATTTACCATTCCGCGCCAAGAAAGTGATGCTGGTGTAGAAAGCCGAATATATCCATCATAACACCCAGTATAAAAAGGGTATACCAGGCACATGCAGCACAGCCAAATGATGACAGATTTTGATAGATGCAACATAACCTTGCATGAGAAATACCTTCAGGTTGGATAACTCAGTTCGCTACGACGGTCTTGGATTGGAGATGTCCCCAAGTCGCCTCAGCTGCCGTATCCTTCAAATATAAAAACAAACAACCCTCTCGATGCCCGGCCAAGATGCCCAACTGGTTAAATTCAGGTAATTGACAAGCAAAACCAATCTGTAGTAGTTAACGGGCTATTTACTGTTATCCCATTTTAATTCACGAAGATATGTAATGATTGATTTCTCTTCTACGATTTATCAATAGTTTGCAGGTTATTTAAAACTAGAAAATATTTTTAGATTGTAAGATTTTTCTTTTCTTTTTGAGATAATAATGATTTAGGGGAACAATTGTAATGATAATGTAAAACCCCATAGAGCAAGAATAAATCAAGAGAAACTTTGGAACATGATTGGTCCATTCTACCACACCTTGCATATTCATCTAATCTTGCTTCAACTGGTTGTTACTTTTTTCAAAAAATGTTAAATGCTGTGATATTGTTGAAACTTGACTAATGCATGGAATAATAATACAACACAAAATGTACTTAGAACAAAATGTATTGAAACAAGAAAGTGTACACAATATTTACATATAGTATTTTGTATATTCTTGGGAAGACCGTTCCTGGAGAATGTGTTGACTTAGTCGCAGTCGGGCAGAGTCTCTGGATTGAATCTCTTGATTCCTCCCCCCCCCCGTCTTCCCGGTACCAACCATATTTATATGGTCGGTACTACACTATGCAAATTAGGTGGATCCTACCACAACAGATATGATTTTTTTTTCTTTAACTAAAATCAGATACAAGTATTTATCGAAAACTTTATTCACGTCCAAAAGCGCGGAATTTTACACAAAAAGATATCGAAGAGCTGCCTGATAAGTGGCAACACGTCACCGGAAATAATAGTAAAGATATGAAAAAATTTATATAAAAGCTCAGATCTCTCAGACTGTGGATCTATTCCTGCACCCTTGTAACTATCTTTTAGATTGAGTCAAACGTAATTTGGACTTTTGGTAACCAATGGTAATGATTAATTTAATGAAAACTTGGGAATCCCAAATTTCAGGATTGCAAGTCCGGATCCGACCCAGAATGTTTTTAATTTGTTCACGGAGTCAACCTGATTCTAAAATCGTATATGTCGGGCTACTGCTTCTAGGAGTAAAATTGAAAAAGTGTGACACAGTGACACACTGACATTAGTATTTATTATATAGATTATAATAATAATGAGTTAGGGATACAAATCTTACTAATTAACCCATAGCTGGTGGGAGAAGAGGTGGATTTATATTTTTTGCAAGGGTTCACTAAGATAAAACATATACATGTTAATATCCCCAATCAATTGAGATCCATGTCTTGTGTTTATTATTATTATTATTAGTAGTAGTAGTACTAGGTTGAGTCATAAGTATTTTCCATTTTTGGAACCACTTGTAATGACGAATGTATCATCCTATTAATCATACCATACAGTTCGGAATAAATTCTGGGTACACTAATATCTCTTCTTTTTTAAACGGCAATGGCAGCGTACACTGTGGATCAAAGAAAAATGGCATTTGCCTCTATGACAACGCAATGCCTCATACAGCATGAATAGCACAAGAGTCAATTTGTATTTACTCATCTCCCACGGGACACAAAGCCGGTTTAATGTGGGGATCCCGAGCGCGTACACCCGGGTTTGGAACAAAAATTGCCCGCAGCTTCCGCAACCGTTGGCTGCGCTGGCCTCGGTGCGAGCACCGATCCCTCACACAGGACGCAATTTTGGAACTCGGTCGGTCTGTTCTACACCACCTGCCAAATTTGCCTGCAATGTTACATTTGTCGATCGCTGCAAAATGCTTCGGTGAGGAAAACTTTCTCTAATGAAAACCAGATTCAAGAATTCGTCGAAATGTTTTTCACTTCAAAACTTGGGGAATTTTACTCGAAATGTTTTGAAGAGTTGCTTGTTAAGTAACAGCAAGCTAGGGCAAATATTGGGGATTTTTAAAAATTTTTTTTACAGGGGTGTTCACCCCGTACTCGAGATAGAGGGTTGCTGAGTAAGAGGTGCAGCTTATACGGATATGTGAGGAAGAAAACGGTTAACTCTAGACTTGAACAGGTTAAGATTGTAGTGACCAGGAAAGCAGCCTCTTGAGGAGCCGGTCCTACCAGGCAGCGGTTCGTAAAAAGAAGCTGCTTAAGTGGAACTTACATCATACCATGGATGGATATGAAGGGAATGAGAGTGGTTTACTACAATGTGCGTGGCATGGCGAGTCTTACCCGTGGAGGTTAGGACTGGTGGAACTACGTAGTGTAGTTCGTCTAAACATTCGCCATGGAAATAGCGATAGTGCAGCAAGAGACTTGCGATGTCCCGTCTGTGAGAAAGAAGTTATAGGGCTGAAAATAATTCGTTCCCTACAAAAAAACTTACAAAAAATATAATTGTACTTTTATTTTTTCATGAATAAAGATAATAAGCAAAAACAGAAGTTATTTATGACTCAACCTATTATTATTATTATTATTATTATTATTATTATTATTATTAAACAAAATGATTGACGTAACTCTTGCAATATTTTTCAACACCTCAGAGAAGAGCGCGATTTAAGAAAAGATAAAGAAAAGAAAATAAAAACACAGTGTTTGACAAAGTTAAACAATATTTCAACAGAATGTCTATCTTCTTCAAATTATATTTAAACAATTTTATAAACAATTTTATAAGTATAAAAATATATAACTCTACAAAAAAATATTATAAGTCTTTGCACAAACATTGCTTGTTTTGTAAAAAAAAAACGTTGTACTGGTAATGAACGCGATAAAACAAATGAAACGCTGCCAGCGTGAAGGCATGCAACTGAAACGTTGTTAAGATGATGGCGATCTTGTTCATCTTGGAATTTTTCGTTTATTTATTTAATATTATTATTATTATTATCAACAGTTAAGAGAAGCGTGCAATTTAAAAAAAGAAAAAGAAATGATATTTCAACAGAATGTCAGAAGATTCCGTTGAAATTTTGTTAAAGTATTTTTTCTTTTCTTTTTCTTTTCTTAAATTGCGCTCTTAACTGTTGAAAAATATTGCAAGAGTGACGTCAATCATTTCCTTTATTATTATTATTATTATTATTATTATTATTATTCCTTCGATTTCTGGTAATTAAAAAAAAACACAAACATATTTTACATAGATAAAGCCCAACGTAAGGTGTGGGTTGTACTCGTGACAATTTCTTGCATTTCTTTAAGGCATGGGCAGATAGGAATTCTTTCAATGAGTCTACTGGAATATTTTCCAACGAATCCGAGGGCTCCATCTACAACATGGATTATTGATGTTCCCATGTGCCACATTTTTGAGATTTCGATTTCAAGGTCCTTGTATTTTAACTGCTTTTTGAATAATATCTTCAAAGATACATTGCAGTCTGCAGGGACTGTCATATCAATAAGGAGGCACTATTTTTTTATTTGCAGTTTCTTGTAACGATGTCTGGGGCGTTAGCAATGATTGTTCTGTCTGTGTGTATTGTGTAGTTCCATTATTATTATTATTATACAACAGTTATTTTTTTTAATAATTACTATAAATTGTTCTTGTCTGAGTAAAGTCTTGTTCTATGCCCATCCTGTTCGGCACAGATTTTAACCTCAGGAATCTCTTAGCATATAATAATCGACCCACCTCACAATGTTCCGACTGATTTTTTTCACCATAACGCAACAAATGAAAACCATTTTCATGGAATGCGAAAGGTTTCATAATCAACTCCAAGCTGTAAAAAAATCCGTAAGCTGAAAGCATTAAGATCTGCCTCGTGTACAGCTCTCCACATCTTTCATGATAATTCAACCACAAAGAAATACGTTATTATATCCCCAGGTTTTATCCCTTATAGAAACATTTCATAAAAGTATATTTTGTGAAATGACGAAGAAATCTAATCATTTCTGTCGTTTTTAAAATCGAAAGGATCGTTTGTATTTTATGTATGACATAAAGAATTTCATGTATCCACGATTTTTATAATTATTTTGTGTTCATAAATGAGTTTTTTTTAAAAGCTTTGTTGTTTTTTCACCAATATAGATATTTGCACATTTACTACATTGGATTATATACATATATATATATATATATATATATATATATATATATATATATATATATATATATATATATATATATATATATATATATATATATATATATATACATATATATATATATATATATATATATATATATATATATATATTGGATTACACACACACACACACACACATATATATATATATATATATATATATATATATTATATATATATATATGGATTACATATATATATAAATATATATAGTTATATATATATGTGTGTGTGTGTGTACATATATATATATATAAATATATATGGATTATATACATATATTTATGGATTATATATATATACATACATATATATATATATACATATATATATATGTTTTTATATATACACACACATATATATATTTTATATAAATATGGATTTAATATATATATATATTGATTTTTTATATATATATATATATATATATATATATATATATATGTGTATATATATATATATATATATATATATATATATATACACATATGTATATGAATTATATATAGATTTTTTTTTATATATACATATATATATATATATGCACACACACATATATATATATATATATATATATAGTACCTTTCGTCTGACTGAAACACTGAAATGGTTAAATTCTGTATCAGTTTTTCGAATGCTGTCACAGTTAAATTTCTAATTCCGACACGAACTCAATTTTGTTGAATAACACTGACGAAGTTTTCATCGGTTGAAATTGGGCAAAATACTCCATATGTAGTAATTGGGGATTTTGGGGTTTACTACTACTACTACTACTAATATATATATATATATATATATATATATATATATATATATATACACTACTTTACTACTACTACTAGTATATATATATATATATATACTACTACTACTAGTATATATATATATATATATATATATATATCGTCAATTTGAATATTTATAAACATACATTTAATTTCATTTAACCCTTGTTGTAAGTTAATATACATTAAGTAAAGAAAAAAGAATAAAAGCTAACAATATACGCTAAGTAATTTAATTTACCGTGTAGCAGGGTTAACAGAACTTCTCTAAAAAAGCGTTTAATATTTGACTATTAAATAATTATTCAACCAGATTATCTTAAAGTTCACGACGTGGATATATATTGAACCCCATTATATCTGATTGAATAATATATTTCTATATTCAATTTATTCCTCATAAATCAAGTAGAAGAACCACTGAATCAGTCCAATTCAATGTTGTATAATTTCTGATTTAAACATTGAAAATTTATTATCCGTAATTTATTTATTTTAAGTCGAAATATTTATTTATTTGCAGCGGCCGACCTCCAGATATTGGGTTCGATCCACACTCAAGCACAATAGAAGTAAGTGTTATGTTTTTTAATATTGATTTCTTTTTTCTTTTCTTTTTTTACAATTACAATCTTGGACATTTTTTTTTGTATAAAAACTCTCTAGGCTCATATTCCGTTTGTTTTGTGCATAGAACAGTTACCTTATTTTACCTAAAATCAGTGCTGCATCATCGGCCCCTCTCAAATAGAATCAGTCACGCTTTCAAACCGTAAAACACGTATAACGCGGTAAGTTATTAGGAAATACGTAGTGGGGTAAGGGGAAAAAAGGGATGTGAGCAATGAAAGGTAAGAAAGGTAGAGAAATAAGGTAGGGATATATATATATATATATATATATATATATATATATATATATATATCCATTTCTCCTGGTTTTCATTAAAACATTAAAAGATAAAATGCTGATAACTAATTCATCATTTCGCTTGGACCAACCTTAATTGTTTTATGACCCTTCGGCCAGAACTCTTCATTGCCAATTCAAAAAAGACATTCGGATTACTAACACAAAAACAGAATGTTTAACATTGAAAAACATAAGGAAAAAAATTAATTATTTTAATTATATGTGGAAATCTCCGGCTTTTACCTGAAGACGGCCACGAAACACGATGTAGTAAAATTATGAAAAATAAACATAATATTTTTTTTTTAAATTCCACATTACAACCAAAAACGTTGCAGCACCTCTCTTCTCTTCTTTTTAATATACACTTTTCTCTCGTTGAAACACTATAACCTCTTTCTTTTTATATATATATATATATATATATATATATATATATATATATATATATATAAAGTGAATATTGAAGTCGACGTGCTGTTTCATACTAGACGCAATCGTCAGGCCATGATTGTGTCTAGCGTAAACAGTCTGTCGCCCCTGAGTGTTGACTTCAATGTTCACTTTATATTTACATACGCTCTATCTCTGATATTGAGCACTTTATCCCATAAATATAGCATACCTTAAGACTATATTTCTTCATATATATATATATATATATATATATATATATATATATATATATATATATATATATATAATAGTAGATTACAAGGTTTGCTTTCTGACCTGGGTTCGAATGTCACCGTCGTCGATTTGTCAGGAAGGTTACTTCTTGCTGTTATCGATCTGGGGAGGTGATCCGTTAATTAACTTCGAACGAATGTATCGTCTCTCCCTGAATTCGGAATGCCACTGATTATGCTAACGTTTGTTTAACAAGTCGAATGTAAATGAAACATGATTAACCAATGAAAATCGAACAACACAAAAATAAAAATACGAGAATTTATTTCTTCTTTTTCTCCATATCTCATTCTCTGATGAAGTCTTAATAAAAGTGAAACATGTTAGACTGATAAACGTTTCCTATTTGTTCTTTATCTTATCATTCTGACGGATTCTGATCCATATTTTATCGATATTTGACCCTAACACATTTCTTTTGTGTGTATAAACATAGGTTTTTCTTAATAAATCTTCACAGTCACCCTGATGAAGTTCCCGAAGGAAGTAAACGCATTGCAAAAATAAGTTTTCTTATTTTGTCAATTCATTTTATAAATATCGTCTTTCAGATATATTCATTCATTTCAATTTTCTCGCACACACACACATATAGTTTAAAATTTGCTGCATTTATTGGGATAGGTGCTCAGTATCAGAAATAGAGCGTTTGTAGATATAAGCAGTGTGGACACAGGAATCAACACTGAACGGCTACTGTCAAGGCGTGAGATTGATATTCACAAAGCAATGTTAATTTCTAGGCCCACGACATTTCTCTGTTTCTGCCTCTGGTCTACTCTCTCTCCCTCTCTGTTCTACTCTCTCTCTCTCTCTCTTTCTCTCTCTCTAATGAATTATATGCTTATATATATATCATCACATGTATATAACATCACAATCTACCACATGCTGACACATTTTAAAATCATTTCCCCCCCCCAAAGTAAGGCAATAAAACCACTAAGACGCAAAGTGTTACTGAGTATTAGAAAATATGAGAAAAAACACACCTATGGCAACAATATAAATGACAAATAGCTATAAAAAGGCACTGTTGATTATTTACGGCCAATTTGTTTAAATAATGCACTGACTATTGTTTGCGTCACGTGGCAATAATTATAAGTAAAATGATGCACTAAAATAAATAACCAAATAATCATTTTAAGTTCTCTAAATATTGGTGCCCTTGTTTTCCTTAATATAGATTTCTATGTTATTTACACTATTTACATTGTTCGGACTGTTGTCCTCATCTTTTGTTGCTATATTCACGACGTTTCGAGCGTTGTACGCTCCGGTCTTCTTCAGGTGACTGAAATTTCGAACTACACGCTTTATTTCGGTCACGGGGTAGATTGTTCAATTTCCACCTTCGAATATGGCAACAAAGATGAGGACAACAGTATAAATAATTACAATACCTCGCCTGAGAAATATAGACAGATCCCGAATAAGGCCGAAGCGTACAACGGCCGAAACGTCGTGAATATGTCAACAAAGATGAGGATGACAGTTCGAGCAATGTAAATAGTGTAAATAAGTACAGTACCTCATCTCAGAAATATAGATCGATTTGTATGATTGAATTATCGTTGTTTATAAGTCAAACAACAAAACAAAGGACATTTTAGTTATTCCATTAGACAAGGTAGTAAAGGAAAGCAAGAAGAAAGGACTAACTATTAACTGTAAGAAGGCAGAAAAAGAGACAATCCAAGGTGTGAATTATACATTGTGGATGCCCAAATCAAACAGGAACAGATATTTAACTAGAAAACTAATCTAGTAGCAGTTAAAAGGAAGTATGACACAAATCTAAAGGTATATAGGAATAGTGAAAGATGCCTTTCAAAAACTGAATAAAGTATTAAGAGATAGAAAATTACGCAACACTTATTTCGATTAACCACATTACTAAGAATGATTACTTCGCAACTTACATAAATGTAAAAAGTCTTAGTTGGTGATAATATAACTGACAGATTACTATAAAAATGTACTGTTGATTATTTACAGCTAATTTGTTTAAATAATACACTAACTATAGTCAGCGTATGTGTCAATAATTATAAGTAAAATGATGCACTAAAATAAGTAACCAAGTAATCGTTTTAATATATCGGTGTCTTAAAATAACTGTTGGAATAATGAATTAAATTGCAACAGATTATGAATCCAGACCACTTAAACTTAACACCAGGAAGCGATAGTTGAAATTTCTAGGGTACATCATGAGGAAAGAGGGCTTGGAAAATTCGATACTCACAAGACAGATTGAAGACAAGAGAGACAGAGGAAAACAACGCATAATCTTCCTAGAGTTGAGTAAATGGAACAAGGTTTAGGAGAGTCAGCAATAAAATAACATTTATTAAGAGTTAAAAATGACAGGAAATTGTGAAGACCCATGATCGCTAACGTCCCTAAGTGACATGGCACATGTAAACAGAAGCCAAACATTGAACTCGCTTCGTTGATTCTATTTTTTGCGCGGTTTTCCGCTCCACTACCCGTCTATATTCAATTGATATTATCGGCCGTTCATTTAATATTTTAAAAGCGGATGATATATGATCAGGCATATGATACAATCGAATTTGCTTATTGTCTAAAAACAGAGCGTGAACTGACACGTATTTCTGTAAATATTTCTCTGTCCTTGGATTGCTGTAGATTTTATAAGACATATTTCAAAACTCAGTGTTAAACCAAGTGGATATAGATATTATGCTTAGCATACTTGGACTTAGTAAGGTAGAAGGCCAAATAGGAAAAAATTGGAAGGGTGTGTCCGTTGATCTTCCAAATGGGGTCGTCGATAAAAGGCTAAAGAAAAAAATTAAATGTAGTTTATTAACCACGTCGATGGGTCCATCTTCAATATGGGGTCCTGTATTAGGGAGCCGTTTAAACACGAAAAGAAGATTATGTCGCTCCCGTCTACCAAATGGGGACGTCTAGAAGGCTAAATCCACTGGGAAATGGAAGATTATTAACAGCGCCCGTCTTTCAAATCTAACACGTTTGTTTGCTATTCTACAAATTTTCAACTCCCGAAAACTTTAATATACTAGTTAATCCCTGGTTCGGTTCAGCCAGACACATCGACATCAGTGGATTTTGTCTAATCAATAACTTGGGCACTGGTTCATAGAAAATGGAGTTCAATCTCTGGGCGCGGGCTAAATTGGACTCAGTGGAAATAATTAATTAACAATACTTGACGAGATGTCTGTCCCGATAGAAGAACAGTCTAGGAATTTTTAAATGACAGATTTGGTTCGAAATTCCCTTTTATTATTTGAATCGACGCGTCACTCAAAATTACATTTGGATACCTATAACGACCGCAACTCATTTATGTATAATAACAATATGAGAATATTTAATATACATACATTTTTTTATTTTCCAACTAATACATTTTCCCTTCTTTTAGTTGATAAGGTATCCTTCATTTATTAACCTAAATGATTTCGCTCTGCTGAGCAGGGGTTCAGCTTAATTAATTGACTCGATTTTCATTTTTTCTTTAATTTTTATAAAATAAAAGTCAAATATTAAAATTTAAAAAAATGTCTATTTATGGCAGTTATTAAGCCTTGTTACACTAATAAAAATATTCATATATATATATATATATATATATATATATATATATATATATATATATATATATATATATATATATATATATAAAGAAAATATATGCGTCAACTTTAATTAATCGAAAGTTTCATATATATATATATATATATATGTGTAATTTATTTATTTTTTAAGCCGACATTTTATTACTCCAAATGTTATTCTAACGGATACTCGTATTATAAATACACGCCTCATTTCTATTTTAAGCATGTGTATTATTTCGTCTATTTTTTTACGTATTCGAGAAACCCTAATAATAAATAAATCGCTTGTTGGATTATATATATATATATATATATATATATATATATATATATATATATATATGTGTGTGTGTGTGTGTGTGAGAGATTCTGACAGTGTATGTGTTAAAATGGGAAATGATATATTGCGTATATATATATATGTGTATATACATAAAATGTACATATATAGGTATTTATGTCCTACCAATAAACGTGGTATAATATATATATATATATATATATATATATATATATATATATATATATAATTTAAAATGGACAAATTCGACAGATTATTTTAAGACATTTTATGTCTATACATTCTTTTATAATACAAATATTTAATTAAATGCTCTGTTTTTATAATAAACAGCATTAAAAACATTACCGGTTTTAATGTCCCAGAAGTTTTGTTGAAAATATTCGTCCTCCGACAGGAATCGAACCTGTATCGTTTACGGAACCATCATTTAGCATGAACGATTGACGTTTAAAAGGTAGTAAATGTATGACTCGTTCGGTTTAAGAGCTCGTCAGGCTAAATGACGGTTCCGTATAGATACAGGTTCGATTCTATGAGGACAATATTTTCTAATCGCTATATCTGAGTCAGGCCTGTAATGAATAAATACTGTTTATTATAAAACAGAGCATTTACTTAAATATTTATATCTATAACAAGAATATGTAAACATAAAAATGTCTCTCACTCTATATATATATACACACACACCATGTAACAATATAATAATAATAGGCAGAATTTAGGCATCCTTAGTATTTGCAAGTAAGTAACACACAGTGAGGACCAAACCCACTAGATTGTTGTAATGATCAATGAGACCAGCATGCTTGACGTTACTCTATAATGAAGTCACTCTCTCTCATTTGCTTTTTAGCCTTGAACTATTTTGCTATTGTAAACAAGATCGTAGACGGCATATTCACCGAGACAAGCCACACTATTCCGCCATTAAATATTCAATAACTTTTGGACGTAGCAAATATTTTATTGTTTGATTTATATAAAGGGGATAGATAGATAGATAGATAGATAGATAGATGATAATGAACAAGATAATGAATAGATAGATAGATAGATAGATAGATGAAATTTGACAAATAAATGTAAAATGAATTGACAGATAGAGATAGATAGATAGATAGATAGATAGATAGATAGATAGATAGATAATGAACAAACAAAGATGAATAGAAGATAGAAATAGATAATGAACAAACGTAGATAGATGATAGATAGATAGATAATGAACAAACGTAGATAGATGAAAGATAGGATGAATGATAATGAACAAACGTAGAGAAGATAGATAGATAGATAGATAATGAACAGATAGATAGATAGATAGATAGATAGATAGATAGATAGATAATGAACAAAACATAGATAGATAGATGGATGGATAGATAATGAACAAACATAGATAGATAGATGGATGATTGAAGATAGATAGATAGATGGATGGATAGATAATGAACAAATAATGGATGAGAGAAAATGAACAAACATAGATAGATGGATAGAAAGATGGATAGATATTGAACAAACTTTTGAATAGATGGATAGATAGATGAATAGATCTCGAATAAACAAACATGGATGGATAGATAGATAGATGGATAGATAGGCAGATAATGGAAAAGATAGATAGATAGATAGATAGATAGATAGATAATGAAACAAACATAGATAGATAGGATAATGAACAAACATGGATGGATAGATGGATAGATAGATAATGAACAAAAACATAGATAGATGATAGATCAGATAGATAATGAACAAACATAGATAGATAGATAGATAGATAGATAGATAATGAACAAACATAGATAGATAGATAGATAGATAGATAGATAGATAGATAGATAGATAGATAGATAATGAACAAACATAGATAGATAGATAGATAGATAATGAACAAACATAGATAGATAGATAGATAGATAGATAGATAGATAGATAGATAATGAACAAACATAGATAGATAGATAGATAGAACAAACATAGATAGATAGATAGATAGATAGATAGATAGATAGATAGATAATGAACAAACATAGATAGATAGATGGATGGATAGATAGATAGATAGATAGATAGATAATGAACAAAACATAGATGGATCTCCATGGATAGATCAGGATAGATAGATAGATAGATAGATAGATAGAAAGATAATGAACAAAACATATAGAATCAGATAGATAGATAGATAGATAGATGGATCATGGACAAAACATAGATAGATAGATGAATAGATGGATAGATGGACAAATATAGATAGATAGATGGATGATAGAAAGATGGATAGATAGATAGATAGAGATAGATAATGAACATAGATATTTCCAATAAGATAGATAGATGGATAGATAGATAGATGAACAAACGTGGATAGATAGATAGATGGATGAAAGATTCAGATAGATAGAGATAGATAGATAGATAGATAATGAACAAACGATAGATAGATAGAAGATGGATGAGTGATAATGAACAAACATAGATAGATGGATAGATAGATAGATAGATAGATAGATAGATAGATAGATAGATAGATAATGAAACAAACGTAGATAGATAGATAGATAGATGGATGGATAGATAGATAGATAATGAACAAACATAGATAGATGGATAGATAGATAGATGGATGAATAAATGGATGGATAGATAAATGTGATAGATGAACAAACGTGAATAGATAGATAGATAGATAGATAGATAGATAGAAATAATGAACAAACGTAGATAGATAGATGAATAGATGGATGGTCAGATAGATAAATAGAATGAACAAACATAGATGGATAGATGGATAGATAGATAATGAACAAACATAGATAGATGGATAGATAGATAGATAGATAGATGGATAATGATGAATGATAATGAATAAAAAACAAACATAGATAGAAAAATAGATAGATAGATAGATAGATAGATGAATAATGAACAAACATAGATATATAGATAGATAATGAACAAACATAGATAGAGATAGATAGATAGATAGATAGATAGAATGATAGATAATGAACAAAGATAGATAGATAGATAGATAGAATGATAGATAGATAGATAGATAGATAGATAGATAATGAACAAACATAGATAATAGATAGATAGATAGATAGATAAGAACAGATAGAAATAGATAGATATAGATAGATAGATAGATAGATAGATAGATAATGCGCAGACCGAATGAAGATAGATAGATAGATAGATAATGCGCAGACCGAAATAGATAGATAGATAGATAGATAATGCGCAGACCGAAATAGATAGATATGATGCGGAGACCGAAATAGATAATAGATGATATTGAACGGAATCAGATGGATAGATAGACAGAACAGAAATAGATAGATAGATAGATAGATAGATAGATAGATAGATAGATAGATAATGAACAGACTGTGAGAGGTAGAATCATACCATTCGCGGGAGAAATGATGTGACATGAACATAAACAACCTTAACCTAAAATTAACCTCTTTTCCTTGATTTCGTTTCTTTTACTGCTAACCATTACCGGGCTTTCAAAGGTAGATAATTATGATTTTTTTTTCTCACTTCACCCAACCTAACGCGATAATGCCTCTAAGACGCAAGTAGTTACTGGGGCCGAAATAAAATCCGAAGACGTTAAGAGACAGAACCAGAAATCCAATCCTAAACAGGAAACAAGGGATAAACCCCTTACGACCGGCGGAGGAACCAATATACAATCTGTGTTTTGGGAGTTTACTTTAATCAATAACTAAAATGTCTTTCTTTTTATTTATTTATTTTGTTGTCTCTTTTTACTTTTAGGCCAAAGACCGGCGGTTTTTGTCTTGTCCTGCGGCTTTTACGGTGACCCTCATTAAAAGATTTATTCGTACGAAATTTACTCTGTCAGACGAATACCAGGTATTTGAAACAGATTTTTTAATTTCAATCACTTCCAATACATTTCTTTAGTTATTCATTTTAATACACTTCTATGAATTTCTCTGGTTGTTTGGGCTTTAATAAACGTCTAAAACTGTCGTTCTCAAACACTGCTTAAGTACGCAGATTTGAGTTTTTGAGTTGGATAATGGAGGCATTTTAGGCTGAGCCCAAAATCTTCTCTAGACAATTGATAAAGAAAAAGCTTGTATAAAAGTAAATTTTCATATCAAGGTCTTTGTCTTATTTGTAAAAAAAAAGAAAAAAAAAGACGATGAGCCAATAATAATAAAAAAAACTAGCTGTGTGCATTCAATACCAAATGTGATATGTACCTGTTGTAAACTAGGAAAGGTTACTGAATGAGGAATAACCAAAACGGAGGTTGGAAATGAAATGGTAATCTTTATAACATCAACAAAATACAATACTCGCCAGCGACGTGCAGTAGGTAAACCACTCTTAGACAGACTACTCAGACAGCATATTACCTCCCACCTTACAATAGTGTCCAACGTATTTATGAGGATTGGGTAACACCCATTAGTGTTCATAAGTACGATATATAACAGTACCCCTAGCAAAGGTCTCTAATAATTCTTCTCATAATCCTATTATATACAGAGTACGATGGGTAAATTATCGTCATTTTAGATATTTTTAATTTCGCGTATGCGCGTTGTATATTTTTGATTTTGTCGACTGCACAGTACAGTAGGGTCAGTTGGGCACCGTCTGTGAGAAAAAGAGCACCATGATGCCATTCACTCCGTCAGAAGTTTGGAAACGGCATGCTGTATACATTCGTGCCGGAATCTCCAAGACGATCATTTCAGATTGTTTGGGTAACAATACAGAGAATTGGGAAAGAGTTGGATGAGTCTAATCGTAATTTCGAATGTACTTCAGCTCGGAAATCTCAATCTGATCAGAAAAGAACCCCCGAATTTGTTGGTGAGGGCCTCAAACTGAACACAGAGCCCTACATTGTGCGTTGAGGAGGTAGTGCTGCTCTAGGTCAAGAGGGTGGCTGCTGGAAGACCCTATGTCTGGCAACAGGACTCTGCACCATGCCACATATGTGAATTCCGTCATGGCTGGCACCAAATTTCTGCGATCACATCACCCCTTATATCTGGCCACCTAACTCCCCAGACTTCAAACACCTTGGCAGGACGTAATGGTCGTAACTAAGGGAGGGAAAAAGGAGATTTAACATAAGTTAGTAATAGCATTTTTAGATCGCTAATTTTACATGTGTGTTGGAATCAATTTTGTTTTCTGTTTTTTCATTGCAGATCGATATTTATCACACGGATGAGCCATTGAACGATTTGTATACGTTGATGGACATCGCTTATATTTATGTTTGGAAGAGGGTACGTATTGATTGGTATTAACAGTTGAAATCTTGAATCTTGTGTCATGGACACTTAGTACAGACATCGGAAAATGTCGATTTCCGGAAATCAATGATGTTTTATATTGTGAAGAAACAATTGTGAAAGCTTTTAACACATATACATTAAAAACATAGCCACATACAGATATATGTACACAAATATAATTAAAAACGTAATTTCTATCTCTCTCTCTCTCTTTCTCTCTCTATCTAACTATCTATCTATCTATCTATCTATCTATCTATATATATATATAGAGATAGATAGATAGATAGATATAACACTAATATACTTATAAATGTAAGCAGCTATACTCGTCCGGCAAAACCTTAGGTGTTTTAGCTTGTAAAGGAACAAACCAATAGCCAAGGGTAAAAAAAAGAAAGAACTAAGAACATATATTTCCGGCGAAAATAATCGTCTAGAATCTACGTTCAGAGTCCAAAGAAAAAAACCTCCGATATGAGTAAAGTAAAATAACTAAGCAAAGTGCTCAATACGCTAATACAGTTTGTCCTGACGATCCGCGTCGGTGAAACCTAGGTAGGTTTGTCTGGCTCTTTAGGTTTATTTTTCTCTCTCTCTCTCTCTCTCTCTCTCTCTCTCATAAACCGGAAATTTAATCTCTCTCCCTCTCTCTATATGTATATTTTCTGTATATATTATATGCGCAGTACTTATTGGAAAGTGCTCAATATCGATGAAGTGTGCTAACATATTCAGTCGTATGGATATGAGTTTGTGACAAACTTCTATCCATACGACTGAAAATCTATATATATATATATATATATATATATATATATATATATATAATTAATCATGAAATAAAAATATTACCATGGCTTTCTGAAGTCTCCCGATTTGTTAATTAATTATTACTTGCCCTGTTTATTACATTGAGCTCTCGGGACTTATATCCTTCCTGTAATTATCCATAGCAATTAACTTTATTATATGTTTTTCTTTAAACAATTGCTCTAGCCGTTACCATTGAAATTTTGATTTCAGCAATGAATATGCTTATAAAACACGTAAATTTCAGATATAAGCTATTCCCAAAAAAATTTCGCTTGAAGATGGAACAGAGCTTAGTACTTTAATTCAATTTAATTCAAATAATTATATTGAAGTTTTCGGCTCTTGTTTTGAAACATGAGAACTCTTATGTAGCGTGTTGGAATCATATTTTTAAATAAATAATTATATATATATATATATATTTAAAGGCGTTTTTTATTATTTAAATTCAGTGTGGGGATGCTGATGTTCCCTCGTTTCTCTCGAAAAGTAATTAAAAAATTGTTAGTTACTTATTTGGCCAAATTTTGGAATTTTATATATATGAATAGTTCCTTATAAACTCAAAGCTTTCTCAGACTTTCGAAACACTTAGCTTCTTATCCTAATATAAATAAAACAATTTCTAAAGAAGTGACAGATTTTTATTTGTAAATATTTTTGCCATATCTGGTCCGGTGCTCTTGCTGTACATCTCAAAATTCATGACAAAATCGAAAATATTAAGTATTTCGGCCCAACCCTTTTACAGTTGAAATAGCTAAATGCAACATTTGCTGTTATCGCACTTCCTATCTGTGGAACTCCCTTCCTTTTATTTGCTCCCCTGACTATATTCTCTAAAAGTTTTAATGCAACATCAATTCTTACCTTCTGTCTTCTTGATTCTCGTTCATCTTATGTCCTTTCCTCAATCTTCTCGATTCTGTCTTCTCCTTCACTTTCATTTCCTGTAACCCCCTCTGAATTTAGTGGCATTCCCCTGCCTTGCTTGATTTATATATATATATATATATATATATATATATATATATATATATATATATATATATATATATATATTTATATATATATATATATATACGAAAATGTGCGACAAATAGAAAAAGATTTTCTTAGGAACTCTCTTGACATTTCCGTCGTAGTCAATTATTTCTCCTTTGATGAGAGTAGCTTTTTTTTTTCACTACGACAAAAATATCTAGAAAGTGCCCTGATCGCAAGGTCATCGTCAGTAAATTTGCACCTGTGTACTTACAACATTTCATCATTCATGGCAGAACTTCTATTATCACAGTGTGGGATATCTATTAACAAAAGTGATGGAAAGAAAATGAAAAAAGAGTCTAAATGAAATCGACTAGATTAAGAAAAAAGATTTTTTTTTTAATTAAAAATGTTACAATTCCCAGCACCCCCATTTCTAGCCGCAACAGCGTAACAAATTTGTGATGAAGTCCTAAAGTGCGAAATGTGTCACAAAAAAACCTTTTACACTTTATCATACATTTTTCAAAGATATTGTTCTTGATATATGAAAATATATATCATTATCTCTCTCTCATTCACTCTCTCTCCTCTTTCTCTCTCTCTTTCTCTCTCTCCATATATATATATATATATATATATATTCCAATGAAGCTTTAATAAAAGCGAAATATGTTAAATTTTTAACGTTTTCGTATTTGAATATCTTATCCTATCCTATATATATATATATATATATATATATATATTAAGCAAAATATATGATATAGATCCGACAGTATGAAAAAAAATATATGCGGAAAAAACAAATAAAACCATATATACAATTATGCTGTTTTAATGTTAATATGTCAACGTCTGACGTTTAAAAATGACCATGTTTTTTAAACCAAGTTGATCTTATAAACTTTCAGTTATCTGTTTGGACAAGTCTTGTTCTTATGTACATCGTCTTTGTCATGTATTGATAATGTTTATAATTTATGAATATGTCCTTGAAGATGGTTTATTAGACTGAAACGTCAGACGTTGACATATTAACTTTAAAACAGCATAATTGTATATAAGGATTTTTCAACATTTTTTCTGTATATATTTTCTTCATATATATATATATATATATATATATATATATAATAAATTTACCCTTAAGGTATTGCTATATTTAAGGGATAAAGCGTGTGTAAATATAAAATCAAACAGCCTGTCGACTTCAATGTTCACTTATATATATATATATATATATATATATATATATATATATGTATGTATATACTGTAAATAAAGTAACTGCCATATTTGTAATCAAATATGCTAGAAAAGGTAAATTAGATTTA